TCATAGAACCATAGAGCTGGAAGAGACCTCAGAAGGTCATCAAGTCCAGCCCCTCCACTTTAGGCAGAACCAATCCCAACTAAATCAACCCAGCCAGGGCTTTGTCAAGCCGAGACTTAAACACCTCTAGGGATGGAGACTCCACTACTTCCCTAGGTAACCCATTCCAGTGCTTCACGACTCTCCTAGTGAAATAGTTTTTCCTAATATCCAACCTGGACCTCTCCCACCACAACTTGAGACCATTGCTCCTTGTTCTGCCAACCGTCACTACTGAGAACAGCCTCTCTCCATTCTCTTTGGAACCTCCCTTCAGGAAGACTCCTGCACTTGGGACAGAAGAATCCCAAGCATTGTTACAGGCTGGGGACCGACTGGGTAAGTAACAGTTCTGCAGAAAAGGACTTAGGGATTATAATGGATGAGAAGCTGGATATGAGTCAACCGTGTGCCCTTGTAGTCAGGAGAGCTAATGGCATATTAGGGTGCATTAGGAGGAGCATTGCCAGCAGATCCTGAGAAGTGATTATTCGGACTCCTGTAACCCTCATTGTATGAGTAAAGGAAGGCAGAGGAAGAGTTCTATTTCCAAATAAGGGCTGTGTAGATGCTCCCAATTTCAAAATAAGCTATGCAATTGACATAGCTCAATTTGCATAGCTTATTTCAAGTTAATCCCTGCTGTGTAGATGTGCCCTTAGTCTGAAATTAGTATGCTGCCGCTAATTCGAACTAATTGGCCTCTGGAGGCGTCCCGCAGCTGTCACTTCTGACTGCTTCAGCCATAGCTGGTATCTCCACTGCTGCTCTCCTCCTACAGAGTTCTAAAAGTCCCAGGAACAGGAGACGTGCCTGTCTCACGTGGCCAGTTTTGCAAACCCTGTGCAAGCAAGCACCACTGAGACATGGGCACCCCCAATGCTCCCTCAGAGCCTCTAATGGTTGCCAGTACTTCTGCTGCTCCCATGGACTCCATTCCCCAGAGACTCAGAAGAGCTCCGGTCTGGACTAGTACAGAGATCCTGGACCTCATTAAGGTATGGGGGGAGGAGTCCAACCTCCAGGATCTCCACACCAAGGAGAGAAATGCGACATCTATGGGAGGATTGCTGCCAGTCTGGCAGAGAAAGGCCACAGCAGGAAACTGGAGCAGTACAGCCTCAAAATAAGAACTGTGCCAAGTCTAACAGAAGGCCAGGGAGAAGAGATGATGCTCTGGGGCAGCACTTCACACCTGCCACTATTGCAAACAGCTGGATGCCATCCTGGGAGCGTAGCTGGTCACCTTCTCCACCACCGCGCCTCGTGTCAGCCTGCAGGAGGATGGGATGGCAGAAAAGGAGAACGACAATGTGCAGGAGGAGAAGGCAGCAAGCCAGGTGGTGATATCCGAGAGCCAGAAGCTGCTCCTCACCTTGGAGCCAGTCCCGCCTCCCCCACTAGGATGTTTATTAGGCTTCTGACGACCCCAGGGAGGGCATTTCTGATGAATTCTCCAACTTTCACTATCTACAATCAGGGTCAGGTGATGGGCTGAGAATGGCTATGTACTCCTCTCTCAGCCTACTGGGCCTAGGGCTTGCGGAACAGCTTGTTCACATGTCTGCACATGGAGCATTAGTCTGAAGCCCTCAGCTCCGTGATGCTGTCACACAGGAACCCCTTGATCCCTCTCACAAGGTTTGCAGAGAAGCCTGCCTTACTCCGGCCTCCGTGGTGGGACACCTTCCCATGACAAGCTACTAAGTAGCCTGGAGTCATGGAACCACAGAGTGGTGCCACACATAGACAAGGGGCATGCCCGTACTCAGTCAGCATTAGTTCTTGATCAAGTGCAGTGATACGGAGGAGGGTGATATTGTGCATGGAACTTGCTGGGAGGAGGAAAAGGAGAGGGGAACCCATTAGCACTCTCTCCAGTAAGTGGCATCTGCTGCTCACATACACCTCCCTTAATCCTCCCTCCCATCTCCAGTGGGCAGCAATAGAAGTTCTCTCTGCAGGATGCCACAAGTGCCAGACCCATTGTGTGCAGGACACAATAGAAAGCTAAGCTGTCGTATCCTTTCCTCCCGCCCACAGTCTCCTGGACTGGCCAGCACCTTATCATGTCCCTGGGCCACGTGTATTGCGATGATCCCTTCAGACATCTGTGCCCCTGCTGGAAAGTACCCGCTTTCTGGGCAACATATGGCATTGCTCAAAACACATCACCGTCGCCTGAACTGAGACCTTCAGTGTTGGCTCAGAGATTAAGGCTAGGCTTCATACAAACACAGAACACCGGCACCCCCTCCCCCATTCCAGGTTCTTTTCTCATTCCCTCCCCTATTGATCTGTTCAAGAATGATCTTTGTTGTTTGCTCTGCAGGAGAAGGGAGGGCAGAGAAAGAGAAGGGTGGGGAATAAAAGGCAGGCACACACAGGGAGGGCAGGGGCCCCTTGTGGGGAGCCAAAGGGGAGAATCTCAGAACTGGCACTGGTGTCCGGTTGCTCAAACTCCCTGGCCAGGCATTCTACCTCAGTCCCTTACCCTGGCAGAAAAGTCTCCCCTCCCCCTTGTTTTCACACAGGTTGTGGAGCACACAACAGGCTGCTACCACGAAGGGGATGTTGCGCTCACTGAGGTTTAGATGGGTGAGGAGACTCCTGAACCTCCTCTTTAAACACCCAAATGCACATTCCACCACCATTCTGCACCTGCACAGCCTGGTGTTGAACTCCTCCTTGCTGTGCTTCAGGATGCCCATGTTTGACTTCATGAACCAAGGGACCAAGAGGTAGACTGCATCACTCAGGATCATGATGGGTGTGTCCATTCTGACTCTGATGGTGCAGTCCGGGGAAAAAAGTGCCAGCATGCATCTTTCGGAAGAGACAGGAGCTCCAGAAGATGTGGGCATCATGTGCCTTTCCCAACCATCTGACACTGATGTCAGTGAAGCGTCCCTTGTGATCCACGAACATCTGCAACACCATGGAGAGTACCCCTTATGGCTGATGAACTCTGAGGCCCAGTGGCCAAGGGTCAAGACAGGACTATATGCTGTATATGGCACTCCTGCTGTTAGGGAAGCCCATGTAGGCATAGTCATTGATGATGCTGTCTACGTTGCCCAGAGTGATGACCTCCATAGCAGGATGTAGTCTTGGCTACTTGCACAAGCACAGCCCAACTCTGAATTTCTCCTCTCCGAACTGGTTCCCAAGTGAGCGGTAGCTGTCCGGCATGGCAAGCTTCTAGAGAGCAATGGCCACACGCTTCTGTGTGGGGATGTCACATATCAGTCAGATGTCCTGTAGCCTGAGGGCAAGGGCAAGCCACTCATGGAGTTCAAGGAAGGTGGCCTTGGGCATGCACAAGTTGTGTAGCCACTGCTGATCATCCCATCCCTGCATGAGGATGCAGTCCCACCAGTCTGAGCTCATCTCCCTCCGCCACAAGCAGCGTTCCATTGTGTCCAGGGGTTTGAGGAGCATGTGCAGCAGCAGGAGCACCAAGAATTGGCTGAGCAGAGCCCGTGGGCCATGTTGAGGTTTGTGCTCATTGTCCTCATCCTGTTCCTGCTGCAGCAACATGCGGGCACTCTCAAAGTACTCCACCATGAGGCGCAGCACGAGAGCCAAGAACATGGCAATGCTTTGCAGCAGCTCTGGCTCCATGGTGGCAGTGCTGTGGTAGATGTGTGCCCACTGCAGCCCATTTCTGTCCTGTGAGGGGGGAGGCGGTGGAGGAGTGCCTTGTGAGATGCGGGCATGGAGAGGAGCCCCTATAAACACTTGTTGCATTTTGCTGGATCAAAAAGCCACAGGAAGTATCTTCCCTCCTGGCCCATTCCCCAGAGTGCTTCTGGGGGCTCTAAGTCTGAGGCAGGCTCTGTTAAATGTGGACATTCTATTTCGGACTAATTTTGATGCCTCCATAGAAGGAGGACGCACAAGTTCAAATTTGTTATATCAGGAGGAGTTCATAAGTCGAATTTAGTGATTTTGAAAGAGTTTCCTAGTGTAGACATGGCCTAAGAAACATAGCTACATGATACTGGGCTTGTTCCCACATAATTCCTTAGCTTATACAATTATATATATGGGATGCAAGGATTTTAATTTCTGCCTGTTGTTCTATTATAATTAACTTTGGTTATCTCTAAAGCGAGACTTGTCTTAAGGTTAATTTAAAACATTAAGTTATCTTAATGCTAATAAAGGGTTGCTGCAGGAGAACTCTCCTGGTGGTCTGAAATGAAAGGCAGAGCTGAGGTCATGGAGTAGGGATGTTAAGTAGCGATAAATCTGCTAGGATGGAATTTCCATCAACTACTTGACTACTTGTTAGGGAAAGGCAGTTACAGAACTCACTTCCAGGTCTCAGCAGAACCCTCCTCATCTGCCACACTGCACTCTTAAAGGGACAGAGAGGAGCAGCTGCCTCTGCTCTGACCAACTGCCACTGCTCTGTCCCTTTAAGAATACATAGGGGCAGTGGGGGGAAAGGGGTTGTCCTAAGACCTGGTGGGGGACCAGAGATTGAGCCAATGTCTTAGCGCTGGTGCCTCTCTGTCCCTTTAAGAGTTCAGAGCAGTGGGGGTGGGAGGTGATCGAGTGGTTGATAGTGCTACTTGACTACTTGTTCACATGCCTACCCTGGAGCTTCCAGTAATAACACTGCCTCTAGACGGTATAGTTGGGGTGGGGGGAAGGGCATTAGCCAATTAGTAATTAATTTGGAGAGAAGCTGGTAACGGAAAATTATGAAGTAAGAATTGTTTCTTTGCCTGTAGTTCTAAGTCTCCTTTTCTCCACTGGAGGTGACAAAAACAGGATTAAACAAAAGGCTGAGGATCTTGTCCTTCGTGATATTGAATTTTCAGAAGTGCTTCAGATATGCCAAGGTTTTAACATATAATTTTGATAAGAAATGAATAACTATATTAAATGTAAACCAGAAGTTAATGGTGATTAATCTTGCTACAAAATAAAAGTCTTTTGCCTATGTAAACAGTCAAATATTTCCAAAAGGCTAACTTGTAATAGGACTCTTTTTTAAAAAATTTGATTTGCTAGGGGAATAGAGCTTGTCTGTGAATACTTCCTTGTGGCTTATTTTTATTTGTCCTTTTACATTATAGGATCTAAGAGACACGCCTCACTGCCAAATTCTTATTCAGCGGGACAACAGATTTGGCAAGTCTATAGCTTACATTTCTGAGGAAGAAATAATTATTATGGGATTAAAGGTAGTATATTTGCAGGAGTGAAGTCATCTTTAATTTTGACTTGTTTGTTACCCTTTTGTAATCAAAGATCTTTTGATCAACTCAGTATAAGTAGGTCAATATTCTGAAATAACAGAGAGAGGTCACAGGAAAAGCAGATATGCAAACTTTACATAAATTGTACAGGTACAAATTGAATGATACGGCTGTATTTTTGTATACATATCTTCAATGGGTATAGAATGCTAATAATCTTAAATGCTGCCTACTTTCACCTTCCTACAGTCCATCTGCATGACTTTAGGATTTTCTAAAATATCAATTTAGTGTCTGTTGTGAACAGGCTGCTACAAAAGATGGGCTTTATTTCTGGATTTCACTGACTCAGTCCAGTTTGGACAAATCACTTAGTTTCCTTATCTTTAATAACCTAACTGAGGTAAGGCTTATTTGTAAAGTGCTCCGACCTCTTGGAAAACTAAAATTTGTACAGTACCTGCTTTTCTACTTCTTAATTTCACTGAATTTGTGCCATCGAAACAATAACAGCTATTCAAGGTTTTTTAAAAAAAACTAATAATAGCTTCAGTACTGTTAAATCACCAAGCCTTTTTCAGTAATGCTGATATTATCAATCAATTTGTAAAATTCTTTCTGCAAATACATCATCCTGATCTGACAGATTACTTCAGTAGACATGATGGATTTAAATATATTTTGCAACCATGGCTGAAAAAAACTACCCCATAACTGAAGCATGAGTAAAACCTATTTGTAAATTATTTCAGTAAAGAAATAAAATTGAATTTCTGCATGAAACATATGTTAATGGCTTATTTTGGTTCTATTACAGCTGACTGTATCATATTCAGTAATGTATTATGTTGAGGTTACTCAAAGTAAAATGTGCTCTCTCTCTCTCTCTCTCTCATTCTCTCTCTCTCTCTCTCTATATATATATATTCAGAATATTGTGAATTGAGGACAATGAATAATTTAGTTCTCACTAGCTTGGGAGGAAAGCTTTAAATATCACTGCATTGCAGCTAATAGCACCAAACATTGTGCACGTCAAGTATTTTAGCCTTTGTGCAAGCTAAACAGTCTAGAGTGCACTGTTTCATCAAAAATAATTTATTCAAACTAGTTGAAGGGCACAGATCTAGATAGAGGCCAACTGGGACTAAAATGTTAGCAAGTTCTAGTGGATATTTGCAGTAAGTAAATCTATAATGTGAATATCTACTATTTGGAAAGAGTTTACACTGAGCTACTTATCTCTGCCTAATATGTTTAAACCAACTCTTAGGACACAGGCTAATGTCTAAGAAATGTAATATTTAATCAGTCTTTTCCAGGTGTAAGAGAGAAAATAAATGTGTTAAAGGCACATCTATCAGACAAAAAAGTTATATGCAGGAACCTCCTACTCTACCCTCTGTAAATAAGAGTGGAGAAAAGAGAGGAATCCTAGTGATGGCATGAAACCTGTACAAATACGTTGAACCTTCCTCTCCTCTCATGGAAACTGCCAGTGATTTCAGTGTAGCTTGTGGTTTATTTGAAAAACCACAATAAAACTACTTGTGTATCTCCAGGTAGTTCTGAGAACAATTTGGTCTTATGGGTGGCCAGGGACGAACTAATTTTATTAACTAGTTTTTCCTGATTATAGTGAAAGATGCAAGTCTGAAAAACTGAATAAATGTGTACTTTAAAGTATATAAATTTATTCCTAGATTTGTCAGAGACAAATATAAAAAATGCTCTAAGATGCTTCTAGATAAACTTGTTTTTTCCTCTTTTCTCTTCCCTTTATCTCAAAAATAGCAAATACTTTAGAAGAAGCATAAATAGTGGCACTTTGGATTCTCTGCTGCAAAGTCATTGTGTCTGAGGAATTGGATGAGTGACTGTCTATTTGGCCTTCCCATTCTTTCATTTCTTCTTCTCTGATTAGCAGTGGTTTTCCCAATGACTGGCCAAACAGTCGACAGACTTCTTGAGCTTTTCGACGTGTGTTCCCAACAGCAGCAAGACACACTTGACGTCTGGGAGGTAGAAAACAAGATAACTTAGTTGATCCAACTATAGCTCGGAAACTCTTGACAAATCATTATTTTTGTGACTACATAGATGCTAGGTGCATCTACTTCCCCAGTCATATGCTTGATAGTTAAAAATGGAGAGCATGCAAAGGGAAAACTCCATTGTGCTAACAAATTTCATGACTAGAAATTTAAATACATATTACTCACAACCACACCTCTGTGTCAATTTCAACATTTTTTAAATCAGTGGATGACAACTTGTTTCTTGGAAGCAGCTGTGCTGATCTGTAGAGTCTGATCGTCAGATGAGATGGAGAAGGGTGTGTGTGTGTGTGTGTGTGTGTGTGTGTGTGTGTGTGTGTGTGTGTGTGTGTGTGTGTGTGTGTGTGTGTGCGTTCAACGGGGAAACAGTCTTTGGAATGCTCTTTCAGTTCATCCCAATGTGAACTGAAAAACTCTAGGGGAAGATAAATGTAGTTAATCTCCCCAGGCACCTTCCTTTATCAACCACTGAATACTTGTCTCATGTCCTTCATGGCAAATTAACTCTCCCTCTATTGTTGAGGTGCTACAGAAGAATGTTTTGATGTTAGACAGCATTTCTTTCTCCTCAGAGTAACTGAAATGGAGTTTCTTTAGAAAGGTGTATTTCAAAGTTTGTTGTCAAAAGCTAAGAGAAGGAAAGTCAATAGCAGCACTTGGGGAAGTGGATGAAGGCTGTTAAATGTTTGTACCTTCACAAAGAAATCCTAAACAAAATTATTTGCTTTGATTTAACCCCATCCTCTAAAAAACAGATATGCTGACTGAGCACATTATAAACAGATTGTTTTTCCTGCTGGAATCATGGAAAAGCTTATTTTCTGCCTTTATACAAGGGCATTGCAGCCTCTATGAAAGATTAAGTTTCCCATTTGCAAGCTAACTGGAATTGTATTTATAAAATTTGTATAATTTTTCTTGAATTTTCCTTTAAGTAGGAGTGGGCAACAGGTAGATAGCAGTGTGGATTATGTATTGTGAAAATGCTTTTGGAGGCTGTGCATTTGTATGGAGAGGAGAGGGAGAACTTACCGAAGGGTATCTACAGCCTCCGCTGTATGGTAGAAGTGAGGTGGAGTGATAAAAACAGAACTACCCAGTTTCTCAACAAGTAAGTTGCAAATGTTCTGCATTTTTCCAAAATCGCTAAATGTAATGCAGACCTGTAAGTGAACATAAGTAGATTACCAAAGCAACTTTGTTTTCAGTGACTTAATTACAAGGATATATTGCAAACATGATATTTAAGAACAACCCTATACTTCCATTGCTATTTGCCTAGAAAATGCCTGCAGCCGTACAGTTAATTGATCATTGTTTTGCAGCAAAATTAAAATAATGGATTCCGAAAATGTTCTTTGTGTGGAACTCTAGAATTTTTGTTACGTTAGCAAGTTAGAGAAATGAAAATGTGCCCTTAAAGGTGGTATGAGCTTTGTGTCACTAATTCTTGCATTTTGAAGACAGCTTAGGCAAGTACAAATGACAAATACTACTTCAGGAATGATTACTCAGAAAACTAGGCAAATGGGGTGAAGAAGATATAACAGGAAGGAAAACTGCAGTACAAATTTTACATGTACTTACATGAAGACTAAACTCAGTTTTTAGTGACTAATCTTTTATTAATACTGAATTTTAAGGGTAAAATCCAAGAAATACAACTTATATTTAAATCTGTGTTTCTTGCCCTTCCCCCGCAAAAAATAGTTAAGGTTAAAAGTATATCTCAGTAACTTATGGGTAAAAATAAAAAAAAGTAACAGGAATGTTGTAATTATCCCAAAACCAAGCATTAAAACCCTGGGAATATGAGTAATATTTAAACATGTTAAGAAATGCACAATTAAGACAGCAAAACAACCTTAACTCTGCCCTATAGTAATACCATGCAAAAATATTTAATTATGATTCAGGCAATTTTAGTGTTTAGGGTTCATGGTTAGATTAAATTGATTTTTCAAGATATAAGATTTCCTGCCCCCCATATTTCTTCCCCATTGTGTCATTACTGCAGGATAAACCATTTTGTCCTCAAGTAATGAGGTATATTAACTCAGCTATAACTTTTTGTCTTGGACATTCCTTTGTCTTCTTAAAAAACTATTAGTTTCATACAAACACTAAACAAGAAACACAAAGAGAATGCTACCTTGCTATATTTCTTACGATATACACTATCAATCTTAAATAATGTCTTTATTTACTTAAGATACCAAAATCACACAGTTGAACTGGGCTAACAGATACTTTACATTTGCATGACTCTGGGAAGTATCCAAAAACATATTGGAGAGTGTGACTTTCAATTTGCGAATAACTCGTTTGTTCAGAGGGCTCTGTTACAGAGAGAACTCTACTTCTATAAATGGGGCAAGACCAAGACCACTGAGAGTTCTGATGTTTGTGTGCTTTGAGGGCTTCCTGTGTGTCCTGCCACAGCACTAACACAATGCACAAAGAGGACTAGGTAGCAGTGCCATGGGAGATTTTTTTGCTAGAGTTTGATGCCCAAACTAATATGCTCTCAAGACTCTTTGAACACAGTAACTGCTGGGACACTTACTGCATCTGTTCAGTCCTTCTCTTACTACTGAGCAATTATAATTCACAGAACTGTTGCACGAAATAGAAAATTGTTTAATTAATAATTTCCTTTCTGCTAGAAGCATCTCCCACAATTCTGCTATGCACAAAGCTACTCTTCTCCCTTGCAGCTTTCAGTGTTGATTCATAGCTGCAATGCAGCTCATGCTGGCCATACTCCCTTCCCCCTCTTGCTGACAGGTGAGTCATTCCACAGCTGTGTAAAAAACTCAGAGAAAAATATTTATAAGCATAACATCAATGACCAATGCATTAACTGTATACCAGGCCAACTCCCTTCATGGAAAATATGCAAACAAAAGGCTGATCCTTGGCAGAAAGCCAGCTAGGTTGGGTAGAATAGTAGGAGGCGCTCACAGCAGAAAAGAAATTATTGTAAGAAAATTTTCATTCTGCAGCCAAGTCTCTCCATAATTTTGTTATGCATGACAAGTAACGAGCAGTGAACAGGAGTAGGGAGGGAAAAGAAAAGGTAAACAGAAAAAGAATTAAATAGACCTCTACCCCCTTGAGGACTGGCCAAAAGCAAAGCCATCTCTGGAGCGCCTTTCTGCCAATAAGAAGCTTCCGTGGAGGACAGAAAGTCCATTCTGTCATGTTTGATAATGCCGTTAACCAATGTAGTAGGTAGGGATGTAAAATCCTATTTAATCAGTTAACTGATTAAAAAGGGCCTGGGCGGGAGGTGACTGAAGCAGCCCTGTCTGCAGCGGGCCCCTCACAGGATAGGAGCAGCCCCCACCAATTAACAGTTAACCAGAACCTGTAAGCATCACCCTTTAACCTGTCACATCTATAGTAGTAGGTGTCAGTACTAGATGGTGTGATCTGCTCATGAGTGCTGATGTGTGGCTTGTGTGTGATGTGTGCTGTAGGTGGTGCCATCATCTGTGGAGGCACTGAGATGCTTGGTACTGGGTATTCGGTCAGCACTACCACTATCACAGCATGGGGTTTCAGTTTCCCCTTGTTGCCACTGTCAGAATTAAGTCACATAGCAACTACTGTTTTCTTAGTACCAAAAGTGACAGAGAAGCCTGCTATTTGGGCAGCCGGAAGGCCAGTGCAATTAGTACTGAAGCTATTTGCCCATTGGAGGAGCACCTTTTCTTGGCTGGCCAATTCTTGAATCGTGGACATTCCAACTGTTTATCAATTTGTTCCAAAACTTCCTCTATCAACACCTCAATCTGGGGCAGTTCCTTAGATCTGTCACCTGAAAAGAACGTGTGGAAATCTTCCTCACATCCTCTGCAGTGAAGACAGATACAAAGAATTAATGTAGTTTCTCCATAGCAGTCTTGTCTTTCTTAAGAACTTCACTGATCATCCAGAGGCCTCAATGAATGTTTGGCAGGCTTCCTGCTTCTGAAATACAGTAAACTTCAGATAATCCGGCACCTTTCGGACCCAGGGGGTGCTGGATTATCAAATATGCTGGACTATTGGAAGGGGGGCTATGAGGGGTCAGGAGTGGGGTGGGGTGGGAAGGATGGGGGGGGGCGCTGTGGGACCAACACGGCAGT